TCCCTAAACTCTAAAATAAAAAAATTAAATTTTAAAAATTAAATCCTAAACTCTAAAATAAAAAACATAAATTTTAAGAAAAAAAAAATATATATCAAACTATGCCGTTTTACGGCATAGCAGCAACACAGCAGGGAGGGGGCACAGCAGTGACCCCACTCCCGGAAAAAAGAGAGTAAGTAATTACCCAAAACTAAAACTACTTTAAGAAAAAAAATAAAAATAAAGACAAAAATAAAATTGTTTAAAATAGAAAATGATTTACTCATTTATTAATTAATTTTTAAAAATAAACTTTTAAAGAAAACAAAGAAAACTATATATAAAAAAAGTACAGAAACTAAATATAAAATATAATACAAAAAATAAATGAATTATAAGATTTTCAAGAAGTGAAACTCAAACAAATTTTGTAAAATCTTGTCTATTCATATACTTTTTGTGTATATTTTTTGTACTTCTAATCCTGAGAATGACATTGAAATAATTTACATTTCTTGCATTAGGTCCTTCTAATAGCTTTAGTAAGCACAGATGTAATAAATTTCATAAAATAAAACACAAATAATTGTGAGACAAAATATCTAAAAAAAATGAAACAACATTCAATGATGATGTAGAAGCACATCTGACGTTTTAATTGAAAGTATAACCAGATAAAGCGTCATAGAAGAGGAAAACAATCTTTATTTTTCATCAAAACAATTACATAACTCAATATATAATTTTAATGTCTCTCACTCTTCCACGCTTTTAATTTTTTATCAATATTAAAATGAATGTATGAACTAAAAAGAAGGAACATTTGAGAAGACAAAGAGATGTGATTTTTAGTTCTTTCAATTGCTAAATTCTATTAATTAATAGTTATTAGACTTCAATGGTCGGACTTCTAATATTTTTTAGCCATTAAAGCTAAGTTCTTTGGTTTCATCTATATTAATTTGATAATTTGAGAATTGACACATGTTCAAGCTTTTACACAAATACTTGACACATTTTTTTAGCATTATTAATGAAATGCAGTGTAATTTTTTTTTCTCTTTTTCTTTTTCACAATTGCATTCTATTAATTTTTAATAAGAATTTATATTTCTTTTAGATATTTTCTTAATATACAAATTATTTTTTGCAGTGTAATTTTTTTCGCAATTGCAACCTGCTTTTTTTAATAAGAATTTATATTTATATTAGATACTTTTTTAATATAGAAATTTTTTGTTTTCATAGATTTTAATAAAATGCACAGATAATTTTTTTTTAGATTTTTTATAAAAAATAATTTAATAATCTCATTACTAACCATAGTGTACGGAAGAAGTTGAAAATAGTGCGGCAGTAGGTATGTGAAAAGTCAAAAAGACTTGTAGGTTGAAGAAGTCAATAAATGTTGAGATTTTTTTTAAATCAAAAAAATTAGAAAATTAAGATTGGAATATTGGAACTCCCAAAAGGTTTGTGGGTTAGAAATTCTCTTTTTTTTTATATAATACTAGCCTATCACCCGTGCTATGCACGAGATAATTATAGATATTTAGATTTTTTTAGATTTTTTTTAATAAATAAATTATGTTTTTAAAGATTTTTTATGAAAATAATTTATCACTAATCATAGTATATATGAGAAGTTGAAAAGGGTACTGCAGTAACTATACATGGATTGTATCTATAATTATTTGTATGAGGGGATTTTAAATTCTAATCAAGGGATTTTGACCAAATCAAATAAATGCAGGCATGTGGAAAGACATGTGCATTGAAAAAAGTTAATAAATACTAATTAGGCGATTTTGACCAAATTAATAAATGCTGAGTTTTTTTTTTAAATAAAAATTTAGAAAATTCAAATTGGGATATTGAAGCTCCCATAGACATTGGGGGTTAAAAATTCCATTTTACTTAATATATAGTATAGATATATACATATTAGAAAAATGATAAAAATAGCTTTAAAAATTGTTGTTAGTACAGAAAAATGTATACAAAATTTATTTATTTTGTGAAATATATAAAGAATGAATAAAAATATTAACAGGACTCATAATATTAGTATATAAATAATTTTTTTATTAAATTTATTTATCAGTAAGTAGAAAAATAGTTTACCTAATATTAATAAATACACGCACAATTTTACATTCATAAAGGGTCAATTTTTGAACTTGAAATTTAGAGAGAGAAAACTCCTAAATCCTAGGTTTCAAGTCAGTAGATCAACTCCTTAGAAATTTTGGTGAGATCTTTCTTTCATTAATTTTAATTATTTTATTTATGTTGTATTTGATTGTAGGATTTGAGAAAACATAAGAAAAAGAAAAAGAAAAAGATAGATGAATTGTGAATAAAATATACTTATATTTTATTTAATTTCACACACTTTTTATATTTTTTTTAAAAAAATCTCTTTTTCATTCATTTTCTGATAAAAAATTTAAAAAGTCAAAAAATTCTTTCCAAACAAGACTTTTTAGCTCCGAGTTAAAAAAGTCAAAAAGTCAACCCACTTTTCAAACGTTACAGATTGTTAGAGGCGCCAAACACTCACTTTGTTGTCTTGCATGGTGAGTTGTAAGGTATGGTATGGATGAGTAAGAGTGAGGTTTGGAACGGGGATTTGGGGTGGCTGGTATCTAGAGTGTACAGTAGTTATTATTGTTGTGTAGTTAAATAGATTTATTTTGATAATATATTAAGTAAAATATTTTGGTAATTCGAATTATTCATATTTTAGAATATATCAAGGAGAATATACTTGAAAAAAAATCAAGTTAATCAGATATTATTTATCCGTTCATCCACTCATATTTGTATTCATTCTAATACTTTAAATCACAATTGTTATTTATTTTTGTAAATACAGATGTGAGTAGATGAATGGGTAAATGATATTCGATTAACTTATTTTTTTTGCAGGTATGTTCTACTTGATATATTCTAAAATATGAACTATTCAAATTATTGAAATGGACCCATTTAGCTACATAACAGTAACTGCTGTACACCCTCACACAGCAGCCACCCCAAATCTTTGGAACAGAGTCATAATTTCTTTTTTAAATGTTTGTCATCTCCAAGAAGTTTTTATAATTTGAGTCACAAATATGATATGTGTTAATTTTTTTTAAATTTTTTTACATATTTAATTATATAAGATTCAATTTTATTGTCATATTATTATAAGTGACTTTATAGATTTAAAATTATAAATCTCTAATTTTTTTTTTTTCCTTTCTATATCTATGGTATTAGATTAACTAAAAATTGAATTTTGATGTCGAAGCCTGTTGGGGGATTTGATAATGAATTTAAAATAAATAAATAAATAATAAAAGTAATGTGAATAAAATATATTTATATTTCACATGTTTTTTTCATTTTCTTTTTTAAATTTCTTTTCCAATCTCTTGAAAAAAAATCAAGTTAATCGGATATTATTTACCCGTTCATCCACTCATATTTGTATTCATTCTAATACTTTAAATCACAATTGTTATTTATTTTTGTATTTAATACTTTAAATCACAGTTGTTATTTATTTTTGTAAATACAGATGTGAGTAGATGAATGGGTAAATGATATTCGATTAACTTGATTTTTTTACAGGTATGTTTTACTTGATGTATTCTAAAATATGAACTATTCAAATTATTGAAATGGACCCATTTAGCTACATAACAGTAACTGCTGTACACCCTCACACAGCGGCCACCCCAAATCTTTGGAACAAAGTCATAATTTCTTTTTTAAATGTTTGTCATCTCCAAGAAGTTTTTATAATTTGAGTCACAAATATGATATGTGTTAATTTTTTTAAAATTTTTTTACATATTTAATTATATAAGATTCAATTTTATTGTCATATTATTATAAGTGACTTTATAGATTTAAAATTATAAATCTCTAATTTTTTTTTTCTTTATATATCTATGGTATTAGATTAACTAAAAATTGAATTTTGATGTCGAAGCCTGTTGGGGGATTTGATAATGAATTTGAAAAAAAAAATAATGATAATAAGAATAATATGAATAAAATATATTTATATTTCACATGTTTTTTTCATTTTCTTTTTTAAATTTCTTTTCCAATCTCTTAATCAAATCTAATGCAAAGAAATCGTGTCCATAAAACAACCTTGATGTCCAACTAAACTGTCTAATCCACCGACAAAAACAGACTGATAACAAGCCGAGTTAATAGGAAACTTCTATGTGTACACCTCAAAAAAGTGTGTTTCATATGTTACATTTAGGTCAAGGTTGGAAGATTAAATAAGTGTATTTTTTGATTTTTTTTATATTATGTGTAGAAAAAGTAGAGAGAAGATGTTGATTGATGTGACTCAAAAAAGATAAAAAGATAAAATAAGTGTATTTTTTTTTTGTTAGCCAAACTTGACCTTAGTTATAATTTTTATATATTTAATTATAATATATTGTGTTATTAGTTATAACACAGTATGAGATTGATTATGATGTTATTGTAATTATAATTGAAGAGTTATTTAATTATATGATGTTTAGTTATAATTCATATTTTTTTTATATAATTATAACTCATATAATATTAAATTATGCTATTTGTAATAATTAAACTTATAAATAACATAAGTACTATATATATTTTTTTGACAGATAACCTTATCCAAGTTAATATTAATATATGCTTGCACTGAATTATTTATTTATACAGTTATAAAAATTAATTAACAACAACATAGTATACAAAATATAGAAAATGCTATAAATTTTTTTTTTTCTTCAAATAAATAATCAAATATCTCACATAAATATAAATCTACAAAATTACATATCCACGCTCATATAAAATATTTAATTATTTATTTAATAAAAAATTAAGTACATCTAACAGTACCCATAAAATATTACACAACATCATAAGTGCAATATTATAGGTTAAAGAGTCATCAATCATCAGCAAATGCATGAACCCAAAGCCCTATATATTCTACTCGCTCACCCTCCAACTCTCCTCACATAACCATAAACGACAGTGAGAGAGAGAGAGAGAATTGCATTTGTTCAAACATGTCGTCTTCGCAATCTCTAACTCTGGTCTCCAACTCCACTGTCTTTCCACACCACAAATCCACTCTCGGAGACCTCAAACTCTCTGTCTCTGACCTCCCAATGCTCTCTTGCCACTACATCCAAAAGGGTTGTCTCTTCACTAACCCTTCTCTCCCCATTCACTCCTTACTCTCTCTCCTCAAACACTCTCTATCTCTAACTCTCACCCACTTCCCTCCTCTCGCCGGCCGCCTCTCCACAGCCCCCGACGGCTCCGTCTACATCTCCTGCATCGACTCTGGCGCCGACTTCATTCACGCCAATGGAAACCACATTCACATCATAGATATTCTCTCTCCTATTCATGTACCCGAGATGGTCAAAGATTTCTTTCCATTTGATCGGACGGTCAGCTACGAAGGCCATTTCAAGCCGATTTTGGCGGTGCAGGTGACGGAGCTAGCCGACGGGATCTTCATCGGCTGCGCCGTTAATCACGCCGTCACTGACGGGACTTCGTTTTGGAATTTCTTCAATACTTTTGCGGAGATTTGCAGGGGAGTGAAGAGGGTTTCGAAGGTTCCAGAATTTCGAAGAGAGTCGGTGTTGATTTCTGAAGCGGTGCTTCGATTCCCAAATGGGTCTCCGAAAGTCACTTTCTCGGTTGATTTGGAGTTGCTGGGTTGTTTGATCTGAGTATACAAGCTGCTGGTGGAGAATCGCTTTTGAAGCTCAAGGCTAGAGTAAATAACAATGAAAAATGGATCGAAAACGAAGAAACCAACTCCATTGAATCAATAGGTAAGCAAAGCAATGATACCCTGATGTTCGATCATGGCAAAAACAATCAAATTCTCGGGAATTTGATCAGAAACAGAGACCCAAATGAGATTTCTTCGTTCCAATCGCTATGCGCGCTGCTCTGGCGATCGGTGACTCGAGCCAGGAACTTGCTGGCGGGAAAAACGACGACGTTTCGGATGGCGGTGAATTTTCGTCACCGGCTCCAGCCGAAGCTCGAGCCGTACTATTTCGGGAACGCGATTCAGAGCGCGCCGACTTACGCCGCCGCCGGGGACGTGACGTCCAAGGATTTACGGTGGTGCGGCGAGCAGCTGAATAAGAGTGTGGTGGCGCACGATGATGTAATGGTGAGGAGGTTCGTAGAGGATTGGGAGCGCGACCCGCGTTGCTTTCCGTTGGGGAATTTTGATGGGGCGATGATTACGATGGGTAGTTCGCCCCGGTTTCCTATGTATGAGAATGATTTCGGGTGGGGCAGACCCATGGCCATTCGGAGCGGGCGGGCTAATAAGTTTGATGGGAAGATATCGGCGTTTCCGGGTCGGGAAGGTGGTGGGAGCGTGGATCTTGAGGTGGTTTTGGCGAGCGAAACTATGGCAGGTTTGGAGTCGGATTCGGAGTTTATGCAGTACGTTACGGGTTGGTGAATGGTTACCGGATTTGTTTGTTGTTGATGGGTTTGAGAACGGTTGTGTAGGTTATGGGTTTGGACGGTCTGGATTTAATCGTGTGGGGACAAGGATGAGAGAAGACTTTTTGTCAAATTGTGTTATATTTTCATTAATGTTTTGTACCATTTTGTTAGTTTTAATTCATTAATGAAAACTAGTTAATATTAACTAGCTTATGACCCGTTCTATGCACAAAATAATTATAGATATTTATATTTATTTTAATTTTTTTTAAATATATAAATTATGTTTTTTAATATTTTTTATAAAAATTATTTAACAATCTTATCATTAATCATAGTATATGAAAGAAGTTGAAAATAGTACTGCAGTAACTATATACAGATTGTATCTATAATTATTTGTATGAGAAAATTTTAAATGTTAATCAAGGAATTTTGACCAAATCAATAAATGCAGGCATGTGAAAAAGACGTGTGCGTTGAAAAAAGTTAATAAATGCTGAGTAGAGGATTTTAACAAAATTAATAAATGCTGAGGTTTGTTTCTTAATAAAAAATTTAGAAAATTCAGATTGGGATATTGAAACTCCCACAGGCCTTGAGGGTTAAAAATCTCATTTTGCTTAATATATAGTATAGTTAGCTTATCACGTGTGTTATGCACGGGATAATTATAAATATTTATATTTGTTTTAGATTTTTTTAATATATAAATTATGTTTTTTAAGATTTTTTATAAAATAATTTAACAATTTATCACTAACCATATTGTATGGGAGAAGTTGAAAAGGGTACTGCAGTAACTATACACATATTGTATCTATAATTATTTGTATGAGGAAATTTTGACCAAATCAAGAAATGCAGTCATGTGGAAAGACATGTGGATTGAAAAAAGTTAATAAATGCTGATTAGAAAATTTTGACCAAATTAATAAATGTTGAGTTTTTTTTTTTAAATAAAAAATAAAAAATTTAGAAAATTCAAATTGCGATATTAAAACTCCTACAGGCCTTGGGGGTTAAAAACCCCATTTTGTTTAATATATAGTATAGATAGATTATTTAGAGCCATTGAACAAACTACAATCACATTTTTGTTTTTCTGAGTTAACTTCAATCATATTAAAAAATCAAATTATAAACAAAATGAGATAACTTCAATCATACAAATCACAATTTTTTTAATGCTATCTAACTACAATGACATTTTTCTCATAATAAAAAAAATAATTGAAAAAAATAACCATTAAAATAGTAAATAAAGAAGATTATTTAGAATCATTGAACAAACTACAATCACATTTTTCTTTTTGTGAGTGTTTATGTTTATTTAACTTCAATCATATTAAAAAATAAAATTATAAACAAAATGAGATAATTTCAATCATACAAATCATAAATTTTTTAATGCTATCTAATCATCATCAATAATTAAAAAAATAATCACAAATTAAGTCAATTGATAATTAAAAAACACAATAATTTATTTTTCAAAAAATATAGTAAGTTAAAAAGATCAATTATAATTTTTTTGGGTCAAAATACAATCTAATCATCATCAATAATTGATATATTATGTGACCCTAATGAGTGCAATCCATTTTGTTTTTCAAAAAACACAGTGAGTTAAAAATCAAATAACAAATTAAGTGAATTGATAGTTAAAAAAAACACAATAATTTTTTTTTCAAAAAACACAGTGAGTTAAAAAAATCAATTACAATTTTTTTTTCTCTATTAACTTTATTGTAATGAATGAACTTTATACTCTGATGTATGTTGTTATTTAAATACACTTATGAGTTACATCTATGGTATTATTTTGGGGGCGTTACAGAAAAGAAGAAGAAGAAGAAGAAGAAACTGAAGTAAAATATGAATAGAATGATTAAAATAAAATTAGACTTAAAGTGTGATACTAAATTATTCAAATCAAAATAATAAAAATGAAAATAAAATTTGAGTCAAAATATAAAGATTAAAAGTGTAATCTATATATTATATAAGGAAAAAAATGTTTCTAACCCACAAGCTTTGTGGAAATTCCAATATCTCAATCCTCATTTTCTAATTTTTTGAATTTAAAAAAAAAAACTCAGCATTTATTGAATTCTCCCAAGTCTTTTTGACTTCTTTCATACACACAACCTTTTTAACTTTTCACATACCTATTGCAACCTTCCTCACTTCTACCATACCTATTGGACCCCTTTCAACTTCTTCACTTCATTTCCACCGGTAGCACTTCTTCATTTCTAACTTCTCCCTTGCAAACAGTGAGCAATACATTTTCCCACATATGCAAACTTCCAACTTCTCCCTTGCAAACAGTGAGCAATAACCTTTCCCACCTATGCAAACAGTGAGCAATTCCTCCTTTTGTGTTCTTTTAATTTACTAGTTTTCTTTTTTACAATTCTTAATTTTTTTGATTTTTTGTTTAAAAAAAAAACGTCTACATTTATTGACTTCTCCCAATCCATAATCCTTTTTGACTTCTCTCATAATTATTGCAGTACTCTTTTCAACTTTTCTCATACACTATGGTTAGTGATGAGATTGTTAAATTATTTTTATAAAAAAATCTAAAAAAATAATTTGTATGTCTATATCCATATATTATATAAGGAAAAAGGAGTTTTTAACCCATACGCTTTGTGGGAGCTTCAATATCCCAATTCTCATTTTCTAATTTGTTGATTTTTTTTTTAAAACTCAGCATTTATTAAATTCTCCAAAGTCTTTTTGACTTCTCTCATACACACACGTTTTTTAACTTTTCACATATCTATTGCAGCCTTCCTTACTTCTACCATATCTATTGGACCCTTTCAACTTCTTTACTTCATTTCCACCGGCAACACTTCTTGACTTCCAACTTGTCCCTTGTAAACAGTGAGCAATATCCTTTCCCATGTATGCAAACTTCAAACTTCTCCCTTGCTAACAGTGAGCAATAATTCCCACCAATGCAAACAGTGAGCGATTTCTCCTTTTGTGTTCTTTTTATTTATCGTTTTTTTCTTTACAATTCTTAATTTTCTAATTTTTTTATTTTTTTTTAAAACTCTGCATTTATTGACTTCTCCCAACCCACAAGCTTTTTTGACTTCCTCATAGTTATTGCAGCACTCTTTTCAACTTTTCTCATACACTATGGTTAGTGATGAAATTGTTAAATTATTGTTATAAAAAATCTAAAAAAATTAATTTGTATATTAAAAAAATATCTAAAACAAATATAAATTCTTATTAAATCTATCTATCTATATATATATATATATATATTATATAAGAAAAATGAAGTTTCTAACCCACAAGCCTTGTGGAAGCTCCAATATCCCAATCTTAATTATCTAATTTTTTGATTTTAAAAAAAAAAAATCTCAGCATTTATTAATTTCTACGAATCCCCATGCCTTTTGGGAGATTTGGTCAAAACCCCCTCATAATTAAACTTTAATGCATTAAAAACTAGCATAAACAAAATTCCTTGAAAATTTCAACACATCTATCTATCTATATTATATTATCTATATCTATATCTATATCTATCTATCTATCTATATATATACTATATATTAAGCAAAAAGGGGTTTTTAACCCCCAAGGCCCGTGGGAGTTTCAATATCCGAATCTGAATTTTTTATATTTTTTATTAAAAAAAGAAAAAATCAACATTTATTGATTTTGTCAAAATCCCCTGATTAACATTTATTAACTTTTTTCAATCCAGATGTTTTTCTACATGCCTGCATTTATTGATACAGTCCCCTGATCAGCATTAGAAATTCCCTCATAAAGGGGTTTTAACCCCCAAGGCTTGTGGGAGCTCCAATATCCCAATCCTAATTTTCTAATTTTTTGATTTAAAAAAAAAAAAAACCTCAACATTTATTAATTTCTCCCAATCCCCATACCTTTTGGGAGATTTGGTCAAAACCCCCTCATAATTAAACTTTAATGCATTAAAAACTAGCATAAACAAAATTCCTTGAAAATTTCAACACATTTATCTATCTATATTATATTATCTATATCTATATCTATCTATCTATCTATATCTATCTATACTATATATTAAGCAAAAGGTTGATTTTAACCCCCAAGGCCTGTGAGAGTTCCAATATGCCAATCCTAATTTTCTGATTTTTTGATTTTTTTTTTTTAAAAAAACAAACCTCCATCCATCATTTAATTTGAGCCCTTTTGAAAACCTAAACCCTATTTTGAAAATCTAAATCCTACTAACTTCGATATTCAAATCTTAATTTTTAATTTTTTTTCCAAATAAAAAAAAAAAACTCCACTCATCATTTAATTTGAGTCTTTTCAAAAATCTAAACCCTACTTTGAAAATCCCTCTCCTATATATATCTTCCTCTTGCCTCACTATCTTCCATCCTATTACAAGCATCACTACTGCTACTATCTCTTCTGTTTCAAATTCAATCTCCACAGAGAAACACTCTCTTTACCTCTCTCTCTCTCTGATCTACAATGGCCCAATTGAGCTCATTCAAGGCTTTGAAAGTTTTCTTGGTCATCGCTATCTTCTCTGTTATTGGATCGTCGCAAGACTTCGAAATGGCTCCAGCACCGTCACCATCAATGGATGCTGGATTTGCTTACTCATTGCCAATATCTGCAGCTATCGTCTTCTCTTCGATTGTTTTGTCTCTTCTCGCGCTCATGAAGCACTAGATCTCCGATTCTTAAAACAAACATACATATATATATATATATATATATGGAATTATTTGGGATTATTTGTTGGAGCGTGATGAAGGATTTTTTATTCTTTTTTTTAGTTAGTTCCACAGAGGAATGATATGAGAGTGATTATGTACATGTTTAAAAACATTATTTAATCACAGATTTGTTTTATATTTATTGGTTCATATGTAATATACATATATGGTTTGATTTGTTTGGTAGAGCATTTGTATATTTCTGTTATCATTTTTTACGCCGTATCAGCTTCTTTGTCCGTACCGCATTTTTTGGTTATTAATTTATAAAAAATATTATGCACCCACTCTTATCAATCTATAATTTATTCTGAATATGTATTTTTATATTAGGGAGTTTATGAATAGAATGAATTTAAATTGTCAATATCTTTTTCTAAATAAATTCTAAGTTTACAAATCTAAATTTATAATAATGTTGTTAATTTACCGAGTCACGTTGTCAAAAATCAATTCCGAACGGT